GCGAAATTTGTCCCCAGGGTGTGTACACCCCCCCCCCCCCCCCCCCCCCCCCCCCCCCCGCATTTTTCCCCCCCCCCCCCCCTTGTTCCCCCCCCCCCCCCCCCCCTCACTCCGGCCCTTCCTACTTTTGCCCCCTCACTCAAGCGTTGACAAAGTGCGACTCGGCGGGTCGGAGTGACTCGTCCGACGATGAGAGGACGGAACTTGACAATTTTTCCGACGGCTCGATAATCGGACATTCCAGTGAATATATTTTAAATTTTAAAAATACAAGGACCTTCCGACTTCGCTTGCACTTACATTCAGGACCTGGAAAGTCCTCGAACAGGGTTGGCATCTTCAACATCTATGGAATACAAGATTTTAAAGCTGGTTTCTGTGGGAAAAGAAAGCAGGTTTGTATCATTTTAAATGGAAAGTCTCTTTCATGCTTTTTGCACCTTGAGTTTGGACTGCAAGTGAAATTTGATTTGCATGATTGCTGATGCAAGCAGACGATCCACTCCAGGAGAAAGTCCAGTAACAAATTCAGAAAATTGAAAAAAAAAATCCTCTTGGAGTTCACTCTACGGTGAAGAATACTGCTACTAAAGCCTATTTAAAAAAATAATATCTCGAGCGTGAATCAATTAAAGTAATTTTTTTTAAAGGGATTCTCGTAGAATTTGGATGAAAAACCTTGATGTTGGGAATGAATAGTTTTCAGCTGAAACCACGATATCCTGCCAAAAATTGGCCATATTTATTGTCTCTTCGTAGGGAAGGAAATCATGCTGAGTTTTCTTCTCACGACTGACGAAGACCCCTTCCCCGGGAGAAAATCACAGGACGCGTGGACGCATCACGTACGACAGCGAATAACACGAAACTACGAGGATTCATCCCGACGACTCGAGACGAGCTGCTTCGGGAGTCGTGTCACCTGGAGACGATGACCTGCTTGCACATGGGGCAGAGGGGATTGTCCTGGAGGCACCTCTTGAGGCAGAGTCGGTGGAAGACGTGCTTGCAGGGGGTCATCCGTGCACGAGTCGGGCTCATTCCCTCCAGGCACACGGGGCAGACATCCTGTCGTTCCAGGTCCTTCGGCGTGGGGGATGGGAATGCGAGCATGGCCGAGTATTCCTTCCTCAGACTTTCCCAGGCAGAGGAGTGCATTTCCTTCAGCGGAGCCAGGATATTGGTAAACACGCCCAAGCCGGACAATCCCGGATGAGAGGGGAAGACGAAGAGGATGAAATAGGCGGACAGCCCCACCCCGACGCTCCTCAACCCCACCAGCAGCATGAGGGAGATCTCCCTCGCATCCCATTCGTCTTCTAACATCCTTCCCACCAGCTTCACCCCCATCCACTTCTCCGATGGCTGGCTCTGGGTCGCGAGGAAGTACACCATCGTCAAGGCGACGTATGGGAAGTGAGGCTCGTATTCGCTGANTAACATCCTTCCCACCAGCTTCACCCCCATCCACTTCTCCGATGGCTGGCTCTGGGTCGCGAGGAAGTACACCATCGTCAAGGCGACGTATGGGAAGTGAGGCTCGTATTCGCTGAACTGAAGCGCGAAAGCCATGAGGACCATGGTCCCCTTGGCCCACGGCACTCCCTTAGCCAGTCGGACGGCAATCGTCGTCGTCACTCGGATGTATTCCGCTGGGGAATCCGTCGTCAGAATCGGCTGGCTCCATTGCCGTTTCTGCCAAGTGCAAGAGAACCAGACTAAATTTATGGTCGTTTTCAAGCCACGAAACCGTGGGACGAGCTACTCCGAATAGCTTCTCGGGGAGTTAGGGACGGTGGGGCAGAATATGACCATGAAACGAAACGGGGTCGTTCATATTTTAACCTATCCATATATATATATCTACTGTATACCATAATATCTTTTAGATATTTACTGTACCGTGTCCCTCTGTCACGGTTTCGAGTTTCCACCATGCAATTCCACCTCCACATGAAGTTTCCTGGAAACAATGCAGGAGCAGAAGAAGAAATAAGTGGATTCTTAAAAATCTCGCTTTAATTTTTCATTTGCGAAATGGAATGGGGTGGAAAAGCCGGAGACGCACAATATTTTTTTTTTTGCCGCTTGAGAAAATGCGCGCTCTTCGCGAAACCGTCATGAATTGCGTAGCTCTCTTCCAACCGCGTGTCATAAACTGCGTCGTTGGGGCATCGCGTCTTACTTGTTCCAATTATCCTCTACTAAGTAAACGCATTATAATTCATTGTTTATGGCGAACGAAAGTAGGCCACATAACGTTTTAGGTGCTA